GGGGATTCCAGCACAAGGTAGCTCGCATTATCGATATAGCACCATAGTTTCTTTCCAGCCTGGTCCGCATTCCAGCTGGGGGATTCCATTTACCACTTGCATTATCGATATAGCACCATAGTTTCTTTCCACTTTCTTAAGCGTGGTCAGTGATGTTGAGGAGCTAGAGAGACACAGGGACATAGGCAGTGCTGGTGCTGTGCCTACGGAGCATAAAAGGCAACCAATGCATGCTCAGCTCTCGCCAAGTCTGTCTCTTCACATACAGCACAAAAAACAACCCCACCAAAACCCCCATGGACAAACCTATGTAGCAGAACACATTGACAAGGCTTCCAGGCAAGGGGGTAAAAGCACAGTATGTAAAAGCACAGTATGTGAAGGCTAAGCAAGCTCTTCACTGATAACACAGAAGTCCTCTGCTAAACAACAGGAACTCAAGTAATGTCCAACTACTTATCAGAAGCAATTCAGAAAGTTTTACATGCGACAGATGTGAAAATTTTGATGCTGAACAGACCCTCTACAGTCTGCTGCGCAGCATAGCATCACGCCGCAGAAATAAGGCTTAGTGCGTGTTGGAACAAGAGAGCCATCTCTATCATATGCATTGGTATAGAAGGCTGCAACAGTGGCTTCCAAATTGTGACTGTCACCTAGATACGGTTTCTCTTTAGACTGCACCCCCTTCTTTTTAATGCCAGACTGCTACTACGTCACCCCAGAGTCTCATTTACAGAATATTTACATCCCGCTTTCCTTTACAGTGAATTAAATGGAGCATCATTAAGACCATAGGGCAAAAGAAAGAAGTTGCCAGCAGCTTTTAGGAAGCTTGCAATTCAGACGGATATATTCAAGACAGAGTGCCATCACAGCGGTAGCAGGCACACGTACACCGATAGACACGAGAGATTTATGCAACAGCTAAAACAACTGTTGCGCTTTGAGAACCCTGTACCTCTTGGATGACATATTCCCCACCACACACATTTTCAGATAAGTTTGCTTAGCTGTATAGAACCCTCATTAGTACTAATTTAAATCCATAGGCAATCAACGTCCCAAAAGGAGCTGTCTAAAGCTACCCCGTGTTTCTTTATGCACATGTGTAAGTCTGCAGGTTTTCAGCAGCTGCCAGGTGAAAGATGTATTTCAAAACAAACAAAAAGCCTCATCAAAAAAGTACAAACCCCAACAGCCATAACTGTTTACAAACAGCTTTCCTGGTCCACCAATACCACAGAAATTAGTGATGTGTAACTAATTGATACAAATCTCCTGAGGGGAGTATTGCTGCTGGTTATTTCTTGATATGAGAAATTTAGTCCAGAAGGATAAATTGGATGGACAGCTGAAAAGCTTTAGTTCTCCTAGTAGGACATGAACTGATCTGGTAAAGAAAGCCCTTAAAGGGATATTATCATGTCAAAAAGCAGGATTAGGAAAAACATTAGTCTTAAAACAACTGAGGGAACTTGGAAAACTTTGTATTTCAATCAGTAATGCTAATTATTTCCATCAATTATTTCCACCTTCACACAAGAGGTAAAAAGTTGAAGATGTCAAAATGTTAATATTTCTCCTATTTAAACTTACGATACAAATTAATTCTGAAACTGTTTTCTATTAAAAGTCCATGTTCTTCAATTAGCGATTTCATTTTTGCATCTAGTATTTTTACTTAGCAACTCCCCTTCCACCGAGTCCAAGACAAAGAAAAGTATTCGGATATTCACAGACCAGTAAAAGATTCTCTTCATGTTTCTGGCAAAGTGTTGTATTGGACTTTTCCTGACTAATTTTACTGCCCACTCCTATACAGATTACTCAACTCCATAAGACAGGTACTCTGCTCATTACAATAATTTTTTGATAAATGAAATAACAGTTAATATGCACATCACATGAAAGGCATGCATTTTTTTGCTCCCAAGTATACATAACGCAAGATTTATTTTCTTCAAAAACATTCAATTTCAAGCACAGGATCATGTGAAGCAACAGCACAACTAACAGATTCTCAACATGTACCTCACATAGTATTGCTTCATCTGCACGGTTTGTGTAAAACACGTTAAAGTTTCTCAGACTCCGGAAAGAGAGCGCTGCAATATATTCAGGGAAAAGACAACAGATGTTACAGCCAGACTAGCTCATGCTGTACCTGTACTGCGTTCTGCGGCTAAGACCAAACCTTGACAGGGGCTCTCCTGAGGCTATCAGGAAATCAAACACCCAAAGCTAGCTGATCATTTGGGTGGAAAAATATCAGCAAGAGCTCTTAAACTAACAAAATCCTCCATGTACAACATAATGATTGTTGTCTGTCTAACCAACGAAACAGACCTTCCGGCCACCTGAACCCAGGTTACACGTAAATGAAGGTTGTTTCCTAACCTTTTATCCTTCTCAGCTAGTAGGTCTGAATCAGGACAACAACTGAATTGCATGACATGTACACTTGATGATGAATTAAGCAAATGTGCTTACCCAACACAAAACTGAGAGGTGTAAATGATATGATTACTGTCAGAGATTTGCCCTGATAAGCCTCCTGGCCTTTACCTCTGTACCTGACATTACACTCACCATATTTAAGAACATCATGAACAAATAACGGTGCCCATGGTCACACTGTGCAAATTAAATAATCCACCGATACTTGAGGTATGCTGCAGAAAACAAGCGAATCAAAAGCACCTAGCAGCAAGAGCAGCCCAAAGGATCTACCCAAACTGTAAGCGACTGCACAGGGCTAGAACCACATAGGTTTTATTATCACACATTCATCAGTTTCCTTGAAGGTTTTGCCTATACAAAGTATTTCACGTTACACAAGCTGAGTATCTCTGCTATCCATAGAGGCCATGGTTGCCCAGATCCTCAGCTAGGGTAATGTAGAGCAACTCTACTCAACTTCTGGCTTGGTATTATTTTTAGCTAATTTTTACTCCAGAAACAGAGGATCACATAGAAGAACAAGGTCACTAAACATGTGACATGTTTAAACAAGCAGCAAATGCTGATGCAACTCTTGGAAAATATATACATGTGCTGTCACACAGATTAAAATCACACAGTGTTTTTTGCCTGGAGAAATTGGTTTCTGTTATTTCATTGACAACACTGTGGAAAAAAACCAGTAAGGGTAAAAAGTTTTTGGCTCTACATTTATTGTTTATTTCCCAAAATTAGTTATTTGAAATTCCACTGAACAGATCCTTTAATAACACCATAATATTTAATGTAACTTAATATCTCTACATATGAAATGCTTTCCCGCAACAGATATGAGCCCAAAGCATCCAAAGGTTTGTAAACCTATGGTAAAAGTAACGAATGCAAGTTAATAGCTTGGGCAGGTGGTTCACCAGCTCCAACACACACAACAGGCTCAGACAGGCAGCAATAGTACAAAACACCCATTGAACAACCTGACAGAAATTAAACAAAGCACACGGAAAACAGAGCACTGAATGGCTCCCTACACCACACTGCACAAAAAGCTGATCTTTAAACATTTCTATCATACACAGTTAGAGAACCTGGCATTTAAAAAAGATCCAAACCAAAACACAGCACTGAGGCCAGTTCAAAAGAAGCCATGCCAACTTACATGAACTAAGCGAGGACTGGACTTCACACAGTCCATCTCAAATAGACATTACCGCAGTCTACTATCAGATATACAGATATAATTCTGCAGTCAATATGAAATTTTTTACATCTGTGATGACCTAACAAAGCAAAGGCTTCAAGTTCCACCAATTCTAAGAAATCTTCTACGTAAACTTAAATTTAATTAGCATCACACTGTCCCAGTTTACCGGGATCACACTCTGAAGACAATGCTGGAGAGAAATGTTGTCATGAACCAGGCTGGAAGCTTATTGTTTCCTATTAGTTTCCAGACATCTTGGTCCTGTATGTATTCCTGTCTTGACTATGTGTATGACAAAGAACTGTAGTAATATTGGCAAGACCACAGAGAATGATCACTACTCGGCACCTCAGAGAAAGACTGTTTAAGTTGCATTCTCACAATTGCCCTGCTGTAATGGATAGGTGTGCTGCTGCAAAGACCACAATTTAAAAATCGCTGTTTGTTTCAGTGTTGCTATAACACATTGTTCTTTTTTTGATACTGAATGCATATGGCCTGCTACAGAACCCAAGGAACTCTGACATGGTGAAGAATTTATGAGCTATTACACTAGACAAAATCAGTCATCACATGAAAAAGCACAAAGAAGCTATGCAAACTGGAAATATGTGGGCCGGGCAGGGGGGGGAAGGGGGAAGAGGAATCAGAATCAGGTTGGACTTTGCACTATCATTACAAAGCTAGAGCAAACAAAACTAACTCATATTTACAGATACATATCACCTGCAAGAACTTAACAGCCCAAAGATTTAATCAGGACTTCACTGAATCATACCTATAGAATATTGGGTCAAAATAAAGCTAATCTGACATATCAAACGGTTGCAAGCACTTTGTTTCAGAGTAATTGAATGCAGGACAAGAAATAATCACGACCATTAGCCATGATGTTGCAAACAATATTCTTAGCAAGAGGCACACAATCGGCGAAGCATACAATCGATTCAGATTGACTCAATTGCTTTGTTCAATTTGTTGTCGCTGGCATCAATGACAGAACAACAAGCTAATGTGGGACAACCAGAGCAGGAAGTCAGGTCTCAAAGATGGTGCTTCCAAAGATACCACCACAACAGTATTTTCCAGTCTGATTAAATCTACAGTCCACAAAATTCAACATATCATAAGCACTGGTGGTCTTAGCCTCCTTCCTTCCTCCCCGTCATCGAATAAAAGATACAGCAGAAACAAAGTGTTTGGATATTATTGTACTTATTTTAACTTGGAGGAAAAGTAAACAACCTGCTTCTCTCCCCACTCCAAAAAAACATTATTTAGGGATCCTGCTCACACAAAAACCAAGTGGCTTGTGGTGGTGTTTTCAATTCTGCACCTTCTAGGGGAGATAACATGCTGTGGAGCTATTTTAAGAACATCTCATTCACAAAGGTCTCCAATTCAGTCTTCAGAGACAGAGATGATTTTTCTTGCTGCTTCAACATCTTTACTGGCATGACATTTGCTTCAGAGGGAGTTCATCTGCTGTTCCAACATCAAAATGGAGCAAGAGCAGCTGCCAGGAGAGGGATAAAAGGAAACACTGGTGACAAAGAGCAGCAGGGTCATTTCTGGTGCAAAGAAATGCAGAACACAGAACCGCAGAACTGTCACTTTCTCCAAAAAGCTGCAGGGGATAAAGACCTCCCCTCTACCTCCTGCAACTGGTGTTTAGCAGCAAGAAGGAAAATGAGACAGAAAGAACTAAACAATCAGTCTGAGGTCTAAATAGCAAATTATTATAAACCAACTTTAAGCACCTGAGCACTCCCAGTTAAAGCCAAGCTCATGCTTAAGCTCTGCAGTGAGCAAAGAATTCAGTAACTCCTTCAGAAAATTCAAAAGAAACCGCTTTTGGCCAGAAAGCACTACAGGGTATGGAGTTCAGTGTTTTGGAGGTGATAGTCTTTGGGATGAATTCAAGTCCTGGTGCTAATCATGACCTTCATATTTGTATATACGGTACAGTGAACAAACTTGGGGCAAAGCTGCCAACTGCAACACGACCACCACAAAAACTACACTGAGCACGCCACAAACAGGGCTGACAGGCCAGCCGAGCAACAGTAGTGCCTGTGGAGTCCAATCTCCCACATCGGAGACACGCAGCATCTTAACTGACACCAGCTGTCATTCACACCAGTTGTCCCCCACCCCATATCTCAGTCATATCTCCGCAGCTCTACTGAAGTAAGTACCATGCCATCATTTTAATCGCTTTTCAAAGAAGCGGCCAAGTTCCCACACTGCTGCTTTGAAGAAAAAGATGAGGCTCATTGCGGTCAATGTGCCTTTTTGCTAGACTAACAAGCTTATGCTAGGTCATCCACTTGGTTTGACTACTTGTTTTTTTTCCCCCCTTATCTTCTTATTAATACATTGCCCAGAGCAGGACAGGGATCTGTCCCTCATTCAACAAGACAAGCAGAACCCTGCCCTCCTCTTCGATGAAGGCATACTGCCATCCTTGTAAACTTTGAGGCACAAGCCTTTATGCATCAAAGTTAAAAACAAAATATTCTTTCCCCCTGCTCCTCACTGAATTTTATTAATAGATTAACTTATTCTTCTCCAGTTTTGTACAGGAAACATTTTAAAGATTTAAACTCTGGAAAATTATTCTTTGCAAAGGAAAGGACTAATACACATCAACAGGAATTTTAATCTTATGATACTTTGTGTATATTAATGTTTATTCTGTTGCATGCTAGGACCACAGTTTATTTAGAACATGGTATTTATCTGACTAACCAAACCCCCTCGAATTCACAGGCATTAGCACTGTGTTTATGACACCTTAAGGGCGTTAGCATTAAGATTTATGAATAAAATGTTACCAGGGTGTTACAGAATACCGAGGACGGTATCTGCAGAGTTGTATATCAAGGTATGTGTGGGCTTGTCAAACACCCACATGACAAATTATCAATAGTGCAGCTCAGAGTACCCCTTTTGTGGATCAGAGACAAATCTGTGCCAACAGTTTTTTATGCTTGTTCCACCCAATGTTACTTTTTCCTGCATTAAAGGGTCACAAAAACCCCTACATGCATAAGCGCTGAAGGACATTTATGCACAATACTCAGCCATGAAATCAAAAGACTTATTCTAATATCCAGAGTCCTGTTTTCACAGCTAGCTCTTGGGGTATGAGAAAACCCACAAAGCCTATGTTTGGAGCTGGACCATAACATTTTATATCGTGCAATATGATATAATCTTTTGTGGATAATTTTAAGATTAAAAGACTGCTGAGGAGCATCAAAGAAACAGAACTGGCTGACTACAAATTGTCTTCCATCCCCTGCCCTTATGCAGAACACTGTCAAAAAGATTATACCCCTGCAAAGCGAGTGGGAAATCCAAGGGGAAAACAAATCTCTAAAGAGACAGAAAAGACTGAACTTGATACAGTAGATTTTCAAAAAGGGACAAGTGTGTGCCCTGTGTTTCTAACGCACAGTATTTACTGTTATGCGTAGTTTTTAGATGACAAATCTAGATACACTAGCATTCAGTGTTTGATACTCAAACAGCAGACTTGCTACTGCTTTACAGCACTCTTGCTGTGAATAAAATAGTAAGAGACAGATGCATGTCCCCATGAATAACTGTCTTCACCAGTAAGAGATTAGAATTGATCTGTCATGTTTCATCAGCAGTAGTCACCAATCACATATCTCCATGCATCACTGGGGATGACAAATTAGTTGCAATCAAACTGGGCTTTGGCAAGATCTAGAGCAGTGTCTCTACCTGCCCAGTTCAAATTACTCTGGTTAGATTTTGCCAACTGACTCATCAAGCAGCTCAAGCTCGTTGCACTACTCACAAAACACTCTTGCTTAAAGTTGTAGGAGCCAGCTCTGTAATGAGCTCCGCCTCAGCAGAGTTATGCTCCTCATAGAGGCATTAAAAAACAAGGAAGCACTGACCTACAACAGCACACAATTAATTCATTCTGCCGGCCTGTTCTAAGCAGGAGTGATTCACATAACTAATAGGTAACACTTTCAAGTAACAGACCTGTACTGAGGAAACAAAGGGTCTATTAGAAGTTGAGCACTTTGTCTGGAAGTTTCGTGTTTCCTTAATATCCTTTTAAAATATTTTTTCTTTATCATACCTCCCTATGAGTCAACTGGATCTTGTCCCCCTTAACTTTCATAGCATGAAATGCCTAAAAAGCAGTTGAACTGACATTCTTAAGCTTCACAGCATGACAGAGGCCAGGGACACCAATTAACAGTGTTTACAAACCCAGTGTGGAAGGAAGATACACTTATTAGGGTGGGTCATTCAGCAGTGGCATCTGACACAACTCCATATGGACGTGTAAGATAAGTGTATCCCTTCAGCTGCCATCTCACCAGTCTGTCACCTCATTGAAAAGAGCTGGTTCAACTTCAAAGGGCAAATAAAGGATGGATAATATGGTTGTAGCATTTAGTTAGACTAAAATAAATAAAAAAGTGGCTCAGATTTTACTTGCACTTTACAGACACAGAAATTGGAACGCATGGTTTGTAGTAGTCCAGTCAAAAGCTGTCAGGAAAACTGGTGACAATGCCAGGCCTGCAACCCAGTTCACTTTTGCTCTCACTGTTGAAAATCCATCTACATGACAGTGTCTAATGACACTTTTAGATCATTTCTAAGACAGACACTTATTTACTAAGGTACAGCCCAAACCGAAGTCACCATGATTTGATTCACTAAAGCTAATAGAAAGCAGTTATATGACAAATCAACAGGAAGCCAGTAAACTTATACAAAGGTGCATGGGCAGAAACTCTTTATGCAGGATATAGTGTTCTGGTTCAGGCAGCTAACCCTACTCACCAAGTAACAGACCTAGGAGTTGCCCCTGATCACTTGGTGGCAATACACAAGCAAGCAGTCAGACTGAAGGCTGGCTGAGCCAATGGAACTGGTTACTTTTTTCTTTGAGATTCACCTCTATCCAAAAACTTGAGATGGTTGGTGTTTGATGATAACCATAAAGAAAAGGGGCATCAGTAAACAATACAAAACTTTTTCAACAGCTTACCTACTTTTTTTTTTTTGAAGTGTGTTTCTCCTAAAAATACAGGCAACATTCATGATACTGTAATGCATCATGTGATAATTGCAATTGCAAGCTGCACATACATAACATCCTCAGCAATGGCAAAGATGCTGAGTACAATCCCCATCGTGTTGATCCTTCCTTGAAATAATAAGGATAAAGAAAGAGCATGAGCTTCAGCTGGTACTTCCCTCAGGTTAATTGGCAACTGGTTTGCTCATTAGGAAGTGTAAACAGATGCTTTAAACACTAATGAGAAGTGGATCCAACTCCCATCTTTTCATGAGCACAATACTTGAAAGAAAAGGTTCTCGGGGACACAAGCTGCTCCAGGGGAGATGGCTACACAAAGCTTTAAGATATGCTGTCAGAGATCTAGGCCTGAATTATTCCCTATCCACTGCAAAAATGAGTAGGTAAAAACACCCTGCTTAATATTAAACATTGCTGTTTGGAAGCTTCTCTCTAAAGGCCAATGGGGAAAGAAATGTTAAGGTGATGTCCAGACACCCCTCAATCAGACTCCTCCAGACAAGGCAGTATTCCTCCTTACACTTTAATAAGGAGCCTACAGAGGTTAGGCTCCTAAATTAGGCACCAAAACTGCACACAGCTATGAACACTTCTCGATAAGCAGTCATGACAAGACTCTCAGCTTATACTGGGAAAAGGCTGACTTTTTCCAGATCACTGAGCACTTTGTTTACAACCATAAATTCAACTATAGTCCAGTGGCAAGAACAAGATAAATAATTTCTTCCTTCCCTTTTCTTCCCAGCATGCAGTTGAAGACTTTCAGCAAATACACAAGTAAAAATTAAACTACTGAATATCAGTTGTTTAAAGACATGCAATCCAATTACCTAACTGAAAAAAAAAACTAAGGTGACACTATATTTGGACTTGAATAATGCCACCAAGATATTAATCTGCAAATACATCTAGAGCCCAAGTTCCCATACAATGATTATTAGGCAACTGCTTGATTTTACTACTTGGAAAGATTTTGCAATGACAGGGAAAGAAAAAAAGCCCATAATGAAGGCGTGTGGGAGTTTTAAAAGCCTTCCAGTCCTCCCAGCACTCCCCTATGCCCAGGCCCACCCAACCTACTTTGTATGCACTTCCTTCCATTGTCCCACGCACCACACCGTACCTCGCCAGAGCTTGAGGGGAAGCAGAGACCAAAAGAATCCTTGGGGCATGCCGTATTCGTATTCACATTAGTAGTTTGTTATCAACTTCAATAACAACTTCAACCAGACAGCTAGAAATACAAGTCCTAAATCAGTATTCTCTCTCTTCTTCCAATATGTAATATTACAAAATGGCTGTAAGCCAAACCCACTCTTGCTTTTTTTTTTTTTTAAAAGTGAAGTTGCAGTTTTAAAAACTGTGACATGATAGCAAAACTCTACTGTAACTCCAGACTGGAATATTCACTAACAACAGCTCAAAATGCAACAGAAACAGTTTTAACAAAGCAACTTAATTCCTGCAAGACATTCTCAAAGAGCAGACAAAAAGTATCCAAAAACCCATTCTGAAAAAGACTTTGCTCTCAAGTTTTAGGGTTGCACCAGGCTTTCACATTTATAGCCTTCTTTCCCCCTTGCTGTGTAGAAGTCCAATGATTGTGTTCCGTTTTTACAGAGACATACAGAAAAGACAGGTCACAGTACTTGATACTGTACCATCAGAGATTTGTCAGCAAAACTTCAGCAGTGCATTTGTACTATGATAGTTCTGCTAGTCTTTTTTCCTCTCTTCAGACAGGAACCAGATGCAGGGAAGGAAAGGCTGTCAGCTCATCCATAACAGGGGCACATACAAATTCACCATCAGTCATTTATTTCCTTTGTAACTGCTCACCCAATTTAATCATATGAAGGAACCTCTTCATCACCATCGCAGTTAATTTAACTCTACTACCATCATGGGTAAGGCTTCGATAACCAGGAGTTTTTCTGAAGTAAAACTATTAATCAGATATGATTAATATTCACACAAGAAAGTGGAAAGTGTTAAAACTGTCAAATTTTTATTAATCTCTCTGTTTTAGGGAACACTTATGCTTTGAAGAACCACACTGCATTCCCCACGCATGCAGATTAACAGCATAAGTGAACTAAAACAACAAACCGCAACACATACTTTGGCCCCAGGTTGACACGTACTTCACATTTGAAACATAACCTCCGAGCGTGTTAATAAGCATGCAGCAGCAAGCCTCAGGGGAGAGCTGGCTGTAGCATCTGCTACGAGCTATCTGCTGAAAAGATCTAAAACCTCGCTTTTTTTTTTTTTTTTTTCTTCCCCCCTCCTGAACTAAGGGAAGAGGGCAGCCCATCCTACAGCCTGACACCGTGCTTCCCACCTGCTTCTGGAGGCCAAGTCAGGCTCAGGCCCTCCGGGCCAGCACGCTGCACCTTCCCCAGCCTCACTTGCTTCAAACCTTTATTAAGGTAAAGCCTTCAAGCTTCACCTTCTGGTCTTCAAACCGACGGAAAAAAACAACAAAAAAACCACCCCACCCGAGCACACCCCCCACCCCCATTTCGAGGCCAGCCCCCGTCTTTAAAGCACATTCGCCTTTCCATTAGCCGAGTCAGGCAAACTTCTTTTGTGAAAGACAGCTTTAGTAATCACCTTCCTCTGGAGAGCGGGGCTGAGG